TCCTAATGCCGAATTGCAAGAAAGATCGGCCCAACAGACTTCCGTTTGGAATCCCCTAGAACTAAACACTTATTCGCAGACTGAGTGCGAATAAAGTCAAGTATCCCCCTGGAGGAACTTCCAGGACTTCTGTATATCACTATAACTGTAAACTGGGTAGAGGAAGTGCACAAAACAGCCGATAGGGCTTCAACAGTCTGATCCGACGACTGGAATGTGCAAGTCCTCAACACATCTAAGTTACAGCTCACATACAGTACAACGCCTCCGCCTTGGCGACCAACGGAGCGATCAGTTCTAAGCAGCGCGTAGCCAGGTAAATATACCTCACCGTCCGTGATATCCGGAGACAACCACGTCTCAGTGAAAGCAAGTATGTCGGGACGAGATATGTCTACAAGTAGACCCAACTCGTGCACCTTGTTCCTTAGGCTACGCACGTTGCTAAGTACTACCTCAAGGAAGTCAGCACGACCATCCCTGGGTCGTGCGCCATCAGGATTGGTTCTGATAGGGCGGAAAGTAACTTCCGGCTGACCACCTGAAAACCCACCAGACGGTGGCCTTGCTCACCAGCCGCCCGTCTAGTTTTGTGGTCTTTGATAGCCTCCTTTAACTTCAACCTATCTGCCAGTGGTAGGTCCGGCTGAACGCTGACATCACTACCCTTAAGTTTGAATGCAAATCGCAGTAACGATTTGCGTTCCTCCGGGGTAGAAAGGACTACGCGAAGTAGTCGGGGTCGTGGATTTAGCGTAGCGATAGGAACGTTCCCCAATCTGGTCAGCTTTCTGACAGTGACACCAGGGAAACCAGGTGGAAGCAGCTTGCTGACACACAGTTTCAGCCACTTGATGTCATCCAAGATGCGTTCCCTTGGGTGAAAGCACAATTCCAAAATATGTGGATGCTTTAAAAGGTTGTAAATCAAGACATAACACCCCTGCAAAGTATAAGATAAAAAGGGAACTGGGTAGCTAACCCGTGATCCGACTTGTGGCTACTTGATCGATCTCAAGTGTGCGAAAACAGCGGCTTGATGTAACTGGCAATGTGCTCAAGAGACCTGCTCAGGGGGCTGTGGTTCCGACGATTGGCTGACCAGTTAAGTTGAAGTTGCCCAAGTTTATTTATGGTCCCATAGAACTGACCAAATTTCACCTCAGTGTAAATCGCGATCCAGATTATGACTACCGGTTGCAAAACATCCGCGAGTGTAGCGAACGAATCCATGCAACCAGGCAACTTCTAGTTTTTCGAATTGACTATGATTCGGTGGTCAAAACTTATTTTATCTGGACAAATAGTTCATGACCGGTCTCGCGCTGCCTTGGTGTGATTAAAGGTCGCCTCCTTCTGACCTACCCGTGTTAGGCGCGGAATCCTAACTCGTCCCTTTTAACCTATCTTCGCGATAGTAGTACGTGCGTTTGGTAGCTGAACATTGAAAACAAATCACCGGTGTGACAGAATGTAGCACCGGAATAACCACGACGGACCAACACCAGGAATAACAGACACAATTATCAACGGGTCACCTCAGCCGTAGTACGGAATGCACAACTCAAGAAAGAACGAACGGACGTTGAGCAAACAAGTATTTTACGCACGAAAACGTCTTACCAGTGGCTGTATATAAACAACAAATACGCAGTTCAAGCCAGCCTAACAATGGGTAGTAAAATCGGATAGTTTAACTAATGTTTGGTCCATCGAGACAAATGGTTCGCTTAAACCAGAGATGTCCACAGTCCCGCTATCCGATGAAACGTGGTCCGCGTTAACATTGCAGCTGACCAGCTGCAGGTAATAAATTCAGGTTTGGAGTTTTTCCTATATGTGTAACTTCTGTCACTACCTTAATGTCCGACTGAATATGGCCTGATATATTTTTATCCCACTAAATGTGGCTCTCCTTTCAAAAGGTTTGGACATGCCTGACTTAAACGATTCAGTTTGCTTTCTGTTGCGTTACACGTTCAGTCTGTTTCAGTGTCACGACACCTATGGCAGTGGGTCTAAGAATGAGTCAGCCAACCATTTCCTTCAGCCATTGTCTCCTATATTAGGGAATTTATTGTATCCGCAGGTTTATGAGTTAGGAAAGTGCTGATGCTCTTCATTCCACTAACCAGAGCAATCCACCAACTATCCCCGTCTTCCATCACTCTCTGCCTAAGACGCAATTTCGGGGTGTTACGGACACTCTGAAGTGGAGTCCCCCACGGATCCGTCTGGCGTGCTTCGGACAGCATTATCGAAACTTTGAAAATCCCTCCTCAAATAGGATTCTTCAAGCAGTACGGACAGGAAACTTCGAACACCTGTTGCAAAACGCGTCAGAGGCGATGCCATTCCAAATTCGGTTTATTCACCATGTTTGTCGGTGGTAACTGATGGTTCAACTCAATTGCATATTCTTGTTTTATGGATTACGAATGAAGTGGACGAGTGTACAGTGCAGTTGCGCATTCTACCTAAGCAGCAAGAGGATTTTACTAGGGCAAGCAGGAAAATAAACACTTTGCCTCGATCGACTGTTTTGAACTGATATGCCTTCCATGGCTGCTGACGAAGAGGTCGATTTGAGTCACTGACAAACTGGTGATCGATGGCTGTCATTCAATTCCGTGTGAACGCTTGTCCTGACCAGCTAGGCTACTGCAACAGAGGGTACGGTTGATGCACAGCTGAAGAAAGCGGCCGTCATCGTCATTAAAGCAAACACCGAGTATGAACTGTCAGCTAACTAGGTGTTCGGCCCACAACGTGTGGTGGACCTGGTCATTCAAATCCACAGTAACTGACAATGTATTTTTACATGTATTTATTCAGGTCATTGAAGTAAGCTGCTTTTAGGGGTTGTATCAACTATTACCTGTTTACCGATCTGAAAGATAGTGCGGAGGTTGTACGACCCAATGTGGTATAATACACAGTGTTTGAAAAAGAAACCAGCTTGAATACTGAGAGCGGATAAAGTCGTAATCGATCCCCCGCAGGTTCGTTAGCTGTGACCTCGTAAAAAGGCAGCGAAAAGGAAAACTAGGGATGATTGTGGGCGACACAGTTTGTGGATGCATGTTAACTTCCGTATTTTTCATTCCCTGTGTGGCATATTTTTAGTTAGTTTACATATGCATACATATAACACTAGCCGAAGAGTAAAACAGTTGACAGTGTGCCAAGGCCCAGAAGCATCCGCTTTCTATATCCAATGGCAGACTTAAGGCAACGGCAACCTGTGAGTGTATGTGTGCGGATTCGAACCACATCGCTGAGAGATTGCTTGACCTGGAGTGATGTCAACAAAGTTTTACTCCCTTGCGACACATTGCAGGACAACCCTGGCAGGTAGCCAAGTGAACTGAGCAACGTACCTGTCTTGAGTAACAGTCCGAACTGAATTTTCCTAATTTCAACTTTGTGGGTCTCAGGTGGAGATAGTGCGCGGGCCGCAAGCAGATAAACGGAGGGTTTAGTATGGCGTCGCACATTATAGCCTCAACTTTTTGGAGAACAGCAGCGTGTTCATCGTCTTTAGTGGAGTCAGCTGCGCCGATGCCTTTGGCTATAGACACTCAAATATATTTATGCTTTCGAATTTAGAGAGCTGCACGTATCCATGCTACTTCAACATTGGTGATAGGTGGGTAGCATCCTCACGGCCAATGCACTGAACCCTGCATCTGCTTGCTCGTGTCAGTAACCCGCTCACCCACGCATCGATTGGTCAAATTTAGAATAGTAGATCGATGCATGGTGCAAAATGCTGGTTAGAATACAGTTTTGTCTTCCATTTGTCTGAAGTGTTTTGCTTTGTGGTACTTCGGCCAAGGCCAGCTACTGAGCGTCAGTTCCGCAATTGCTAAACTGTGATAAGGAGTCAGGTGGTTGGTATGCATCAGTAGGGTGCACCGACCACCTTGCAACCAGACATCACACAGTGACCCACTCGTATCGATATGGGTACACCAAAAGTGGCCGGCTAAACTAGGTTGACAATGAACAGTGAACAATGATTTATCACGGGATAAAAGCAAGTGCTTGACACGTCCCGTAGGATGGTTGCGGTGAATATGATGAAATCAAAATATATCTGGGTCATCTATCGAACGTCTGCCGATATGAATAGTTTGATAATTAACATCAGTGTAAAATTAAAATAAATTATCGAGCGTAAACGTTCAGAAAGACACTGGGGTGCAGTGATCGTTGAGGTAAGGAGTGAGAAAAGTAAACTATGGTCGCTCACTTAGGTCCAACACTAGTCCAACAGACGCACGCGATCAGACAGGATGATTATGTCTTTTGGTAAATTGCCAGACGCACTTTTACCTGAAAGCCCACTTGTGACTAATGTAGGCACCGGCAAGTAGGAGCACCGCTTCAGCTAGTTTTCTGTGGGATATACATCAATTCACAGCGCCACACTTTTCCATATTGGTTTCAACAGGATTGGTTCGGATGCTACATAGTTTTGATTCCAAGTCCGACACAGAAGCTTAGCATGACGTTAGCCACCACTGTCAGCAAGTTTATTTCCAATTCAGAATTAGAAGGCCTAGACGAACCACATAGCGACCTTGCTTTCATTTGCACGCGAAAGAGTGGAGGTGATTTTAGTCAGTAGCACAGACGAACTAAGTACGGTAATACCTATGCACACGCAATGTTACTCCCCACATAATTTCCAACTACTTTATAACAATCGTTGGTGCTTTTCCGGATCGGTAGCTGATCCATCTGGCATGTAACCTAATTGCCATGAAGCAAATAAATACTTTATCATTGTCCGAAACTCATGAATTGAGAAACCTCGCTTCACTGCCTGTATATTGCCACCACTTATAGGATGCAACTATCTGTAATAAAATGACGACACGGGGTAATAATGGTTGCTTCTGCTTTCCAACAGTAGCCACAATAGCAACATATATCAGGTAGATGGTCAGAAATCGGTAGGTCACTCTAGACCAAGTGTTCAGAGCAACGCTTACCTGGCGGTCCCATGTCACCTTTCTCTCCGGGCATTCCTGTAACTCCACGTTCACCGTTATCCCCAGGTTCACCGTCTCGTCCGACCACGTGCGTGCCTGGATCGCCGGGCGCACCTTTTATTCCCATTAGACCTTTCACACCAGGGAACCCTTTTGGACCAGGTATTCCCGGACGACCAACTAAGCCAGGCTTTCCAGGACGGCCTGGAGCACCTGCAACGCCTGGATCGCCAGACAGTCCCTATCGTAATCAGACATAAGAGGTAACAAGCAACTGTTATGCATGATAAAATGTGTAACTGTTATTTTCTCTGCAAACTGCAAGCGATGAATCTAGAGCGGAAACACTGTTGCTATTCCACAATGTAGAAATGCATGCATCACAAAACACTGTTTTAGTACGTGGAACCACTTATTTGTTTTCAAAGAGGCTACTCACTGTGCTTAAACTACGTTTTCCTTGCGTTTAACCAACTACCCTCAGGAGAGCGAAGAGGGTGAGAAGATTTGTGGTCGGGTGTAGGTTAGAAAACTAATGAGACGATTCAATTACATATGGTTTTAGTTTCGGCTGTATGCTGTAGCCGTCCTTCTTTTACTTGTGATAGTCTTTACATAGTTATAACCTATGTACAACAAAATGGAAGCTCGGAAAAGGCAGACTAAGTTGCGGTAATTTACATATTGCCTTTTAAGCTACGGAGTCCAAATGTGCTTGAAGGCTTTCGAGTGACACCAACTTCTTACAGTAACACAATGTTACTTACCCTGATAACTAACAGGAGAATATTTGATATCAACCCAAATGTTTCTTACTGGTGACCACAAGCTCAGCTTGTGGGCAATGTGTTTCTGGGCAATGTGTTACCTCCGGTCAAATATTTAAGCATAACTACACGCATGATTGTAACACATTTGTATCTCGACTTCTGGTAGTGCTTTGCGTATGCATAAAAACCAGCTATTGGTGCTCAGGTTGCTTACTTTTGGTCCAGGGGGTCCTGGGAATCCGGGTTCTCCAGTCCGACCTGGCCTACCGGGTTCACCAGCAGGCCCAGGGAAGCCTTTCTCTCCAATGTCTCCCGGGTCACCAATGTCTCCCGGTGGAGCACCTGCAACTGAGCCGCGCTCTCCTTTCTGTCCTCTTTCTCCAGGTAAACCGACTTCACCTTTCTCTCCTGGGTCACCAACGGGTCCCATATCACCAGGCTCGCCCTTTTCACCAGTAACTGCTTGTCCGGGTAATCCTGGCTCACCCATTTCTCCCGGTAACCCATCATCACCAGGGTCGCCTGCAAGCGAAAATTGCGCACGTGGTGAGGAATGAAAAGGTGGTTTGCTTGTACGTTACCGCATGGAGTACGACATAATTAAACTAATAGAAACACACCTGGGAGCCCGGGCAAACCCTTTGCCCCGATGGCGCCTTCAAATCCCTTTGGTCCAGCTGGCCCTGGTCTCCCGCGCAAGCCACTATCTCCAACTGCTCCCGGTAAGCCAGGGACTCCAGGTGATCCTTTCTCTCCTTTAGCACCTAAGAATGAACGAGATACATGAAAATATCATCAAACTTCACACAGTCATGTAAGCTAAAGGGATTTAACTGACGACACTTAAGCGACCCTATACTTCTTCATAAATGTAGTCGGTCTCTATCTTTGTAGTAGATGTTAAAACCTAACAGCAGCCGAACAGTGAATACCGTTCAAACAGTGCGTATTTGAAGGTGAGTCACGGCCGTCACTCAATGGAGGCTCGACTTTCCATGTACGCCTCATTTTCGTGGTCCACTGAGACTAAAAGAACTGTGGAAGATCGCTTAACATCTTTGAAAAATATTTTTGTAAGTACGAGATTTCATATTTTCAACTACAGTTCTTACCAAAGTAACGGAGTTTCGAGTATCGCAAACTGCAGCGGTTCGACTTAGTAGGTGGAAGGGAAGTCCCGTTTGTGTACTATTCGCATGTCAGGGTGACAAGAAATATGTTGGTCACTACTGCAACCCGATGGATCACGTACAACTAACAGTTGTTGGCTTTCTGTCATTTGAAATTGTGATTTCTCACTAAGTGGACTCAATAGACCATGCATGAAGGCCTATTCTTGATGCCGCGCGTGAAATAAATTCATGGGACAACGAAAGCTAATTGAAAAGCATATATTTTTCATTATTTTCTTTTGTCGTATCCGACGTGAGGTTAGATTAAGTCACATAGTCTGAAGTTACGCCACCACTTGCCCAGAAATCAAGCTCAACCACTGATATCAGAGCAGGAGTATAGGTATTTTCGTTGGAGTCCACTCGCGGCAGTTCACTATACCGTCAATCTAGTGCTTGTCTAGAACATGTAGATAGAGATAATCGATACTGAGCCTCACTTTGGAGACGCAGGGATCCCAGCAGACATCTAGATTTATGCATCGCTGGACTCTGTGGCTAAAGCACTTTGGCTTTTGTAAATAGGAGCTGAACTTCTGACTATCCAACAAGGAAAGCTGTCTCAGGAAGGCAACTCTGAACCTGCACGCCTTAAAAATGCACATGGCAATGTAGGAGGAGGAGGAGGAGGATGAGGAGTGCAGCGTTGTACAACACTTAGAAGCTTGACTATGTCTCCCGCCACGGATGCCCTGTAGTCCAGTGATCTTAACATCTAACTCGAAAGTGAGCGATCACAGGGGCTAGTTCCCATCGTACTGATGGGATGCGCACTATCGACAAGTCCCGAAATGATGAAATGGCAGCCTAGTGCTTTTCTGGCTCTTCAATGGTTGCTTGAGTGAGTGAGGCGGTGATGATTCTCCAGAAATTTGACTCGGAGCTATCTCACCACTACTCTCTATAAATATCTGCCATTCGTTTACATAGCAGTCGCAGTTTAGACAGATAGAAGACGCACTAAAGACAGAGAACATTTTCCCTGAGCGTGGAGTTGGGCGAACTGGGACGAAATGGCATCTACCTAAACGTACATTGAGTATGGTGGATAACAGGGACGGTGGCCTGATGAAAGAATAAAAGCAGTCAAAAAGTGAGTCAATTGCTGGTTAATGTTGTCTGCGCAGTACAAGCAAACAACGGCGCAGTGGCTTCTACCCGTAAGGACAGCTACAAAGTAGTCCGATAGGACAGTCTGAGTGAGAATCCAATATCTAAAAACAAACGGTGCCAACGATATAGACCACGCATCTGTGGTCTTACCACGGTGTTCGCATAAAATCGGACTTAAACTCGTCTATCTAGATTTTGCGGGGAGGCTGACATGCGGAGTTTGCGTTATGTCGTCTCCCGATGAAAATCGTTAAATGCATCGACAGTTATTTTACAAGTATAGGTAACACCGACATATAAATAAGTAGGAACCAATTGCCATGGATCACGTAATGTCTGGATTTCGGTGACATTAAAATTGGCAATGCTGCAGCGCCAAGTTCAACTGGCGAGCCACCGATTGACATTGTGGATTGATCTCAGGTGGCGGTAAACGTGACGGGTGTTTGTCTGGATCTGGTAGATCTGTATGATATCAAATCTAAACACAGCAAATGGTCGCTGTACCACCCAAGTCTTCAGTTTAAGGATATTGGATAAAATAAGATGATAAAATGCATAGTCGTCCTACGCCGTGCGGTCTCAATACAGCGGGACAGCACTTCTGCACCAACAGCAGCGGTTGAAGAGGAGGTTACCGATCCACCCAAGGCTAGGATACCCAATTCCATCGCTTCGGAGTTTCGAGGATGGGTGCGGTTAGCCAAATCTTCGGAGAATTTGGAGAAATCGTCTTAAATGACATGTTAAATGACCTTGAGTTCTGTCACACTCTCTACCGTTTCGATGCAGCTACCTTGTGCTATCGTTAAGTCGGTTGTGCATGACCAGTGTTGACAGGGACCTTGCTGTTCATTAGTGAGTTTTGGAGGACGCGCCGTGTGCCTGGATTGTGACACGTAGTCTCGATTGAGGCTACAGTTTACTTTGAAGCAAACCCATGCGATGTCGATCACTGGGATTGCATCCGAAATGGACAGTTTCGGAGCTGCCTTCCCCCAACACCACACCGTGTTGCTCTACGTGCTATGGTGTTAAATATTGTCAGTTGACGAATGCCTAAACAATGGTTGCGCCCACCACCGAGAGCCCCGGAAGGAGGTCTCTTGGTGATGGCTTACTGGTTCTGAACCGTTAGCACCACCGGTCTATAATGCTTGTGAATTTCTAAGCCAATATGAATTCTTGATTCAGTGATGTAAGTTTGCTACCATCTATACACAAGTAGTATGTCTTCACTTCACATTTGTAACTACATTGATCAGACACTGTCAATGGCTCCAGAACCTGAATTAACCGATGCACTGATTAATTTTGTTTTCCTATTGGTCTTTATTACTTAAACATTGTTTGTCTTGTTTAGTTACGAACATAGATTTGTGTAGCACAAATATCTGGACTCTTTGTTTTAACGTGTCACATGATACGCAATTGAACAAGCGCAAGCTGTTAGAGCTGAAAACATGGAGATATTTCCGTGTAAACACAGAATCTGTTCATCTATTCGTAAGTCATACGCTTCCATTTTGCTTTGCGGTCATGTATATAGAATCAGGGTTAAGTCAATATAATTTGTTCTGCCCACAGCTTTTAATTCGCACAGCCCAGACCATGCGTTTTTAGATAGGTGTTGTCGATGCATCGTTAGACAAGGACTTCTGCAGTAACACAGCTAACTTGCTTCTACCTAGAATGGATCTGTTGTCTACCAAAGCACCATGGAAAGAAGGGTGATATCAGCTCAGTTAACTTCGAGGTTCCCATCTCTAGCACCATCGGGTGTATGCCTATAAACTTCGGAGATTTACGGGGGCGTAAAGAGAACACAGTTGCGGAACCAAGAGTTGTATGGATAAATCCTGACACCTGGTAGATAGAGAGGTTGATAAACCACACACAGGAAATGGGACGTCGGAATGTTGGGACACGCTTCAGCTACAGAGCGCTTCATACCAACCCGTCTATTAAGAGATGTGGAAGAATACTAGGTCTCACTTTTCAAAAGCCACTGACATATTTATACAGTATATTTTTACCGGTATAAAACTTTATCGCTAAGTGCTGCTGGTGTGCATACTTGTCCTTACAAAAATGTGTTACAGGGATTATATTGCATTTAGTATGTACCTCAGATTTCGGGACCGAAAGTGAATCCCCACAAAAGCCTCCCTTCGGGCCTAGTGATTTCCAGTCCTGCTTCTAAGGAAGGACGGTGTTTTGTATAATAAAGAGGTCGGTTTCTGGAACACTTGTGAGCAGCTGGCTGGATTTTCTAACAAGCTCCGTCCAGCTACTATCATGGGAAGGATTATCCGAAAAACTTTAAGATGATTTCCTCAACAACTTCCGATGGGATATCGTAGTCTGTGATTGTTCCCGAAATTCTGTATAACGTAAATTCATGAAGCATGGTTACGTGAATTCTGAAATCTAATGGAGTTTATCATTGCTTTCCCATTATAAGCTTTTCAACTAGAAGCAGTAGGTTGAGTATTGACGGTTCATCTTTTACCCTGCATCTATTAAGCGTACCGACATAGTGACAAAGGGGAATATTTGTAATAAACTGGTGCAGGTCAGCCCTGAGCTATTCAATGTGCCTGCCTGAATCCCTAGATAGTCAACAGTGTAGACATGTGAGCTGAGAACATGCCTGTATCTCGATCGAGGACTCTTCTCAAACCCAATGCCAGATGGGGTCCATATTTAGCGTGAAACTGGGGCGATAAAGGCTACCACAAAACGCGTCGTGTCCTAACCGCTTAAGGCGCCAGAATGAGTCAGTGACTCGCGTTTCGGATCATCCGCTGGCTCACAATGTAGGTAGATGCGATGGAACAAAATTACCTCATTTCTGTTTCTGTAGTGATCCGTTCGGATTAGAGAAAACTGCCTGTGTCTCTACCTCGGCATCGATAACTTGTAAGTGAGTCCATGTCGCATCTATGAAAATGCAATTTTAGACTTCTAATGCCTGCTGTAGTCAGTATTCGGTAAGCATGTTGGGAAAGCATTGGGCATAAGTACACAAACATGCAAATTTCTCGGAGGCCGTGTGTTCTGTATGTGAAGTTGTATCGACCAGTGGAGGATCCGCCGACAATGTTATTTTGTGTTACACCGATAACTGGGCACGTGCCAGTTCCAGTGGTTTTTTAGATAGCATTTTGACCAATTCCTACTGTGTACTGTGTGGGGTATGGGCACAAACGTGGACAGATGCATGTACAATTTTTTCAGACACATTGTGGATACCCGGTCTGAATAGTTGTCCTATTGCGTTTGTTTGGAGGACAAAGTTTTGAGCCTCAGCCCACAAACTAATGGTCTACAAAGTGCATACCAGCTCAGCAAAATTCTTGTTGAGATCTATCTGGATTGAAGTACAACTTTGATCCCCTTTAGGTCGCACACTATGTAGCTTGGTTGGCTGAGTAGATCTAGGTAAATTTCTCTACAAAGCAATCAGGTGAATGAAT